TAATCCCTGGAAACTGTAGCGGTAATCGAAACTTTCGAAGTCATCGATGACAGTTGTGTTTAATCTTTTAAAACCTGTCACTTCAAAGAAGAAAAAAACAAAAAACCTAATGGTTTTCTAATAAAATTAGCGAAGACTAATTCACAGGTGGTTTACTTTTACAGGAGTCAGAATGACATTAACATTTTCATCTCACATAGGAGATGATGCATCTAGGAGTTGCACTCTGCGTCTAGGGAACACAGAAGCAGAGGACTCAGTAGGAGGACGTGTCAACCTCTCCTTTTCTCTGCTTGTGAGAGCATCTTTTTAATAAGAGAATGCAGCCAAAATCAAGAATGTAGGTGATCTGAACATTTGGTCTCATTCAGATGAATCTTAATTTGTTGGATTTGATATAGCATACTAAGGCACTGATTACAGAGAAACTGTACATGAATTCATCACAGAGACAAAATTAAAATGGCCAACGCTTTTTTCCTGGTCAGTGTCATTAATAGTCAGTGTACATCCTTGAAATTTTTGGGATCTTGTCTGGGTTTTCCTGATGAAGATAGATTCCTAGATTTATGTCCCACTAATCCATAGTATCAGTGAGAGCAGAGGCCGTAAGGACTAAAATGTATTATTCAGAATGGTTTCTGAGGAAGGAATCTGAAATACTACTAAATAGCTAATTTCATTCTTTAAGGAGAAAGAAACATTTACTAAAAGACCAGCACAGCCAAACAAATGCTAAAATTTCTAGCGAGCATCTCCAGAGATAGGCGAGATAAGTCATGTGGTAAGCAATAAAAATAAAGAATGAATGAATGAATCTACCTATTGGATAACTGTAAAGTAAACCCAAATAGCTAAATAATTCTTTTTTAAATCATCTGAATGCGATGGCAGTACAATACCCAGCCATTTCCACAAAGTCTTCAGATGTGTCTTAGCAGGACACTTGCAGTGTGGATTCAGACTCCCTTCCGCCCTCCCTCCCTCTGAATCAGAAACCCAGAAGCCCTCCTCACTCACAAAGCCCTTAGTTTTACCTGTGCAGGGAGAATTTCCATGAGGGTAACCACACCAGAATCTCACCAGGAGCTTGGGAGCGGCCCCGTCCTCTGGCTCCCACCTTCCCTGTGTCTGCCTGTCTAACATCCCACCTTCCCTTGTATGTGTCCTGTGACTCGCATTCCCATCCTCTCCTCATTATCCCAAACCGTGGATCCCAGCAACACCTCCTTTTTTGCTGCCTCCGAGTCTGGCCTGACAGGCAGATCTGCCATGTGCAACACTCAGACCACTTCTTAACTACCCACTATTGAGTCCTGTGAAATTTCTATCATTTTGCGAGAAAATCCATTTCATCCATGTTTACGCCCCTTCAAATTTACCTTTCCTATGTGACCTGAAAACTGCCTATTTCCTGACAATACTCTACTACGAGGTTTCACGTTTTCTCATCTTCCTTGTCTTGGTGGTGGAGAGGGGTGCAGCTGAATCATTGCCCCCAACGTTCTATCTTACGCTTTTTTCTTTTATTCCCTCCATGGTTTATCCTATCACCTACTGAGTTCCAGGACTTATTTCCAGCTTGATGAATGACTTCCGGGCCTGGCTTATGTGTTCGTCGTCCATCATACCTTCTTTTCATCCTTGAGGACATTATCATCTGTCTCTGTGACTCATCTTATCCTAAGACCTCAGAATTCCTTGTCTTCTGTTTCTAATCTGAATCCACCTTCCCCACAACCCCACCACTTGTGAAGTGCAAGAATTCATATTCTTCAGGAGACGTAAATATACATGTGCAATGGCAAATACCTAATGCAGGACAATAAGTGAAATAAAGAGTCATTCATAGGGTGCTGTGGGAACACAGATGAAGGTCACCCAAGCCCTACTGGACGTCCACTCCTGGAGGTGGGGTAAAAGGTAAATAGAAGTTGGCCAACAGACAAGCAACAGTTGTAGAATCTTCCAAACCCAAATAATTGATTTCATTATACTGTCCTGCTCACAGCCAAGCCCAACAATCCATTCTCCGGCCAGTTTTAAGCAGGAACTTTGTAACTTTTGAATACAGTTTCCAAAATTATTTTTATAAAAGTTAGACGGGATCCTCTTTACATCTTTTAGTGTATACCCAGTGTTCACAGGAAAATGTCTATTCTTCACAGTGTGGCCACCGGTTACATGTGTAGCCTCTTCCCTCATCACGCTCCACAGGGCTGCACCTCAAGATGGTTTGTCGTCTTCTGTTCCTTGCCTCGTTTTTCTGTCCCACATTCATCTTTTCCCATCATCCCTGGAAAATTTTTATATCCCCAAATCTAGCACAATTCTCAAGATAAACCTACTTTGATTTTTGGAACGGCTGTTAGAAATGTCACTAGATGATCTTATTTGCAAAGCAGAAATAGAGACACAGACGTAGAGAACAAATGTATGCATACCAAGGGGAAAAGGGTTGTTGGTGGGATGAATTGGGAGATTGGGATTGATACACATACACTACTGATACTCTGTAGAAAATAGATAACTAATGAGAACCTACTGTATAGCACAGGGAGCTCTACTCAATGCTCTTTGGTGACCTAAATGGGAAGGAAATCCAAAAAAGCGGGGACATATGTAAACGTATAGCTGATTGACTTTGCTGTACAGTAGAAACTAACACAACATTGTAAAGCAACTGTACTCCAATAAAAATTTTAAAAATAAAATAAAAGTTGATTAAAAAAAAAAAAGAACAGGGTTAGGAGTAAAAATAAACCATAATCCAATCCAAGACCAAAAAAAAAAAAAAAAAGGGTTAGGAGAAAAAAAAAACCAAAATCCAAACCAAGACCAAAAAAAAAAAAAAAATGTATAAAAAAAAAAAAAGAACAGGGTTAGGAGTAAAAATAAACCATAATCCAATCCAAAACCAAAAAAAAAAAAAAAAATGTCGCTAGAAGAGATCTTAGTCATCCCATGCAGCTGTCTTCCTGCCCGGGGTCTCCACTGAGTTAAGGGAGTAGAACTAGAATCCAGCTCTTCCACCACCATCCGGAGGTCTTGTCCCCATGGTGCGCTCCCTTCATACGTTAGTTCTCCCAGAGTGGTCATTACTGATCCTAGCCGTTCCGTAGTATCACTGCCTCTAACTCTCTGGGAGTTTCATTTTGGAACCCAAGTTTGCATGAATTTTGCTTTGGGGATTGAGTTTCCTGCAGCGAGTTACATACCACAGTCGACAATGAACAGAAAGATGACACGCTCCCTCCTTCCCAAAGCCTGCCTCACAGATTTGCTCTGTGGTGCTCACAGACAGTACCAACTGTTCCTCCTGTTGACTGCCAAAATCAGTCAGCAGTTGGGAAGAAAGAAAAACTCTATGAATTATGGAAAATAACTAGGGAGAGAGAATGGCACTACAATGGGGGGGGAAAGTGACAATTCTCTGTGGCCACCCATCCAAATGCCTGCCTCAAATCTCAACCAATTGAAAGAAAACTAAATGAAGGACATCTAGTCAACCAGGGGCCTCTGAAACGGGAGAGTGGTTGAGGGCTTGTCCTGTCCATCCAGGTGGCTATAGCCCGACTGCCGTAATGCAAGATTTGAGTCTCAGTCTCTTGCAAAACCGCGTGCTTCATTAAGACAACAAATCTTGGCTAAGGGGAGAGCTACATAAGATGGGAAGTGACAAAAGATGTTCGGAGTAAACTCCGTTTCCATGTGAAAAGCTTCATAAGCTACCTCTGGCCAAGCACTCTAATGGCAAGTCTGACCTGTCAGCCTTTTTGGTACCTAATGGTGTGTATAAATGTGCCAGCTTCGGGTGTCCCTTTGACGTCTGACACAGGCCGCGGGGGTAAGTCGTGGTGTCAGCATTTTAGTGTCCGCAGCCCATGCTTGGGAGCACACGTGTTGGTCTCTCATCTTCATGGTGTTTGTCTCAAGTGCCAAGAAGACGACTATGAACATATCACAAGGTTTGCCTGAGCTGTATTTTTTCCGTATCTAACAGGACATCACCTCTGTGTGTCCACTGCCCTTCATTTTAGTATTCCCCAGGCTCTTCTGCAATTATTTACGTCTGAGCGTTTCCATTGTGAGCATTTCCATTGTGCAGGGCATTCCTCACACCTACCACAGTCCCGTGAATTCTTAGAAAATAAGCACAACACACCAGAAAATTATTTTGAAAACGCATGGATATGGCTTATTGTTATGTGTTTCTCAGAACTTTCTTTGGCAGCGCTTCTCATCAATAGTGGAACATTTGGACTGGCTTGCATACCACCAGAGCTTTTACTAGAAACTGATTCGGTAACATGCTGAAATTCCTTTTTTAAAATTCTAGACAAGAATGTTCATTGTATAGCTACTGTTTAGGCAGGGATCTAGAAGATTATTGCTCAGAGATGACGATGTGAAGACTTTTTACTTTTGTGCTGTGGTTCTATCACTGCAGTTGTATAAACATTTGATTTATAATAACATATGGTGTAGTAGAAAAAAAATCATTGGAATGAAACAGTTTTGTGCATCGCGTTTAAGTTGTTTTTGTTTTTGGTCTTTTTGTTTGTTCACTTTTCCTTTTCACAGACACAACCTCCCTGCTTTGAGTTGCGGAAAGAAAAGGATCATAAAATAAAGATAAGGGTTTAGCTCTGGGATTTGGGAATTCATTCATGGGAACGGTTGTATCTTCCAATAAAGAGTCAAGGCCCGTGTTTTCCCTTTGTGCTGCAGGGGGGCAACCACGACAGCTGTGGTGTATGGGTATTTGCACACATTAGTGACAATGTATACACACAGCAAACATACTTATTAGAACAAAAGCCTGGGGATTCTGACGAAATGTACAAGTGTTACAAGAATATGGCAGATGCACTGGAGTAACTTTTGTTAGCTTTGCTCCTTCCAATCCTTTTCTGGAAAAACCTCTTGCCTGATTATTTTCCCATTGTTATTTTGGCATCTTCGTGCTGTTAAATGCTTCCCTGCTGTTTGCGTTTTAGATTGGTGTTCGAAAAGTATTTCTGAAACACTGGCATGCCAACCAGCTAAATGATTTGTGCCTACAGCTGCAGAGAAAAATTATCACCTGCCAAAAAGGTAACAGTTACACACTTCACAGTAACAGTTCAGTGACATCTCTGAACTTTGATGAGTTGGAAAATACAAAATCATTTAGTGAACCCCCAAGTTTAAATGTTAGGGAAACCTAACATTTAGGTTAACCTAAATATTGGAGTTGACCCTGCCATGGCCCTATGTCCGTCCATCCCATGGCGCTACCTTCAGGCAAATAAATAGGTTTCAGAAGTTTCAGAAACACTGTAGCTAAGTTGGCTATTTACTTGTCTCTAGATCAGAGTATGCAGCCACAGCTCATGCTTTATTTCATGATCATTCTATCTGTAATTCTGCATCAAATTTTCACCTAAGTCATAGTTTGGAAGAGGGGATATACATACCTTGTAATTTATGCATCCCTCACCTGGAAAATATTCATGCTTGCTGATCCTCCAAGAACCACAGGGCAAGAAGAGTGTGCCTTTGAACCATGTGACACTCGGGTGCAGCTCTGGAGCCAGATTCCTAGGCCACGCCAGTCAGCGCCCCTTGGTATGCTAGAGTTTGGAGGACTGCCACAGCCAATTAGCCTGTGTATGCCTTGGATTTATGTATGCCTTGTAATTTAAGTAATTCCATGTATGCCTTGGATAAATGCTTGACTATTTTTCCTTTGTGAAGGGATAATAATATTTGGACCGTTAACTTTGATAGCAGATAGCATCTATTTCATGTTAACTTTGAGAGTCCATTTAGAATTTTTTTTTTTCTATCAAAACCCGAGTGACCGTCAAAAATAGGTACATTTTAAAAATCATAACTATGCCTCACATAAAACATACATACTTAATAGATTTTTAATTTTAATTTGCTTAATAGTTTAATTGTATTATATATCTCTAAAGAAAGGTAAAAAGGAGAGAAATTAATCTACAGGCTAACTTTTGGTGGAAGCAGCCGTGGTGAGCTTAGCTCTCTAATCTATCTGAAATGATTAAAAACAAGTGCATCTCAGAGAACGTGGAAAACTGCCCCATCCTGTTCAAGCCTCTGTCTATGCGAGCCCCTGGGGGATTCCTTCAGGCACACCCCTGGCTGAAATCTCTGATGGGTCCCATCATTTTCTGATGATAAAAAGTCCTGCTATATGCTGGTCCCTCAAACAGACTTGGTTCAGAATTTAGCAAGTCCAGTCCACGGGAAGGTCAAAAGTCAGAATCTCGTTCCAAGTTAAATCGTCCCTCTAGGCTCCCACCCTTACTTAGGTGCCCTCTGGGGGGAGGGAACAGGTAAGGGGACGGGGCCGCCCCTCAGTCCGACCCACACCCATGTGACCTGGCCTGGGGTTTCTCCGGCCAGCAGGCAGGCAGGGGTTAACAGGCTCTCTGCATATGTGGGTGCCTTTCAGCCCTCACCTGTGCTACCCACCTGGGAACCGCAAAATCTCTTCTTTGGGCGCCACTTGGAACTCCCCGTGGACACTGCCTGTGGGCCTGGGTGCTCTCCAAGAGGAAGTCTCTTTAAATGACTCCTGGCAGGCGTCTCTGTCTCAATAAACAAGGTCTGGTGTCCTAGAAGCACAGTTGGGGACCCTGACAAGTGAGCCTCTCCCCGTAGAGCCACCCTGCATTCAGCCCCTGGCAGCGTCGGCCTCCCAGGCCACCGTGTCATCCAAACTCCAGACCATGTGGCAGGTTCTCTGGCTGGTCCCCTGAGGCCACTTTCACCAGCCTGGTGTTCAGGGGCTGTGGGGGGAGCCTCGGGTGAGGGAGGCTCTATGCAATCCTCGCTTCTCTCTGGGTTATAGGGTAATCTGGCCTTCTCTGTCCCTCATCAGTGTAGGGGAGGGCTGGGCTCACAAG